TTTCATCGGCAGGGACTGGGAAGCTGGTCAGAATTAAAGGAATGATGGATGGTGCTAAATACAGGGAAATTCTTGAGGGAAACCTGTTTCAGTCTTTCAAAGATTTGAGACTGGGACAGAGGTTCACCTTCCAGCAGGACAATGACCCTAAGCATACTGCAGAAGCAACAATTGAGTGGTTTAAGAGGAAACATTTTAATGTCTTGGAATGGCCTAGTCAAAGCCCAGACCTCAAAACAATTGAGAATCTGTGGTTTGACTTAAAGATTGCTGTACACCAGCGGAACCCATCCAACTTGAAGGAGTTGGAGCAGTTTTGCCTTGAAGAATGGGCAAAAATCCCAGTGGCTAGATGTGCCAAGCTTATAGAGACATAACCCAAGAGACTTGCATCTGTAATTGCTGCAAAAGGTGGCTCTACAAAGTGTTGACTTTGGGGGGGGTGAATAGTTATGCACGCTCAAGTTTTCTGTTTTTTTGTCTTATTGCTTATTTGTTTCACAATAAAACATATTTTACGTCTTCAAAGTGGTAGGTATGTTGTGTAAATCAAATGATACAAACCCCCCAAAAAATCCATTTTAATTCCAGGTTGTAAGGCGACAAAATAGGAAAAATGCCAAGGGGTGTGCATACTTTCGCAAGCCACTGTAGGAGAAAGCCCTGCCTCCAGCTGTTTGCTTAGAAATTCTAGGAGGCCTGCGTCTTGTGATAAAGCGTACGTGGATAGGGAGCTGTTTATTATGTTCAACACAGGAAGGCCAAGGACAGGAATTAGCTCTTTCAGTAGTTTAGTTGGAATAGGGTGTAGTAGGCCATTAATATTTTTGTGAATGTTTAGAGCGATACAGGATTTAAAAACTTGGGTGTCTCTATTGATCTTAGGTCCTGACAGTTCTGTGCAGACTCAGGACAACTGAGGTTTGGAGAAATACGCAGATTCAAAGAGGAGTCCGTAATTTGCTTACTAATGATCATGATCTTTTCGTTGAAGAAGTTCATGAATTCATCACTGCTGAAGTGAAGGCCATTCTCTCTTGGTGAATGTTGCTTTTTAGTTAGCTTTGTGACAGTAACAAAAATACATTTTGGATTGTTTTTATTCTCCTCAATCAGGTTGGAAAAGTAGGACTGAGGGATATTCGATATTGCATGGTACTGTCTTTCCAAGCTAGTCGGAAGACTTCCAGTTTGGTGGAGCGCCATTTCTGTGCCAATTTTCTGGAAGCTTGCTTCAGGGCTCGGGTATTTTCTGTATACGAGGGAGCTCATTTCTTGTGACAAATGTTTTTTGTTTTTAGGGGTGCGACTGCATCTAGGGTATTACCCAAGATAAAATGTTGACCCTCGGTTATGTGGTTAACTGATTTTTGTACTCCGACGTCCTTGGGTAGGTGGAGGGAGTCTATAAGGGCATCTACGAATCTTTGGGTTGTCGGACAATTTATAGCGCTGCTTTTGATAATCTTTGGTTGGGGTCTGAGCAGATTTGTTGCGATTGCAAACATAATAAAATGGTAGTCCGATAGTCCAGGATTATGAGGAAAAACATCTCAGCTCTGTGGCTCTGGAGTCAGTTGCCAGTCATATCTTTATTTGAATAAAGTTTCATCTTCCTAACACAACCCTCAGTAGACTGGCTGCCTATTTAGATTCAACAACACTGTACACTGTCTTTTTCTGTTCTTTCTCTCTGTCTCTCTCTCTCTCTCTCGCTCTCTCTCTCTCTCTCTCTCTCTCTCTCTGTCTCTCTGTCTCTCTGTCTCTCTGTCTCTCTTTGTCTCTGTCTCTCTCTCTCTCTTTCTCTCTCTCTCTATCTATCTCTCTCTCTCTTTCTCTGTCTCTCTTTCTGTCTCTCTCTCTCTGTCTCTCTGTCTCTCTATCTCTCTCTGTCTCGCTGTCTCTCTTTGTCTCTGTCTCTGTCTCTCTCTTTCTCTTCTCTCTTCTCTCTCTCTCTCTATCTCTCTGTCTCTCTGTCTCTATCTGTCTCTGTCTCTCTCTCTCTCTCTCTCTCTCTCTCTCTCTCTCTCTCTCTCTCTCTCTCTCTCTCTCTCTCTATCTCTATCTCTATATTTGTTTGTAACTGGGTTAAAACCCATTAAACACGTGTAGAGTACTGTATGTATGAACATGGCCTACTATCTATGATAGTCTTAATGTAGCTAAACTCATTTTAAAACACCAATAAAGACCTTCATCTACCTTCCTCCCATTCTCCCTCCTCCTCCACTTCCCTCCCTCCCTCCTCCCTCTCTTCCAGGTGCAGGACGCAGTGCGCTGTCGGATGGGGGGATGTAAAGACGACAGCGAGAACTCACCGGACTCGTGCAAGAATGGACAGGTGCAGATCATGGTGAATAACATTCCATTTCATCCCTTATCAGACCCATAACCAGTGCTAGCCTGGTCTCTGATCGGTTGTTTGTGCTGTCTTGCCAACTCCTAGGACCAGGCTACATACAGAAGGATCTTAACCCTCCCGTTGTCCTAGGGTCAAAATGACCCGCCACTGTGTTGAACCAACTTTATTTAATTTTTATATTTTTTGGATCATTTGTGTACTTTCTTTAAAGTCTCACTGCCCCCTTCTCACAAATGATCCCAAAAATATAAAAATTAAATAAAGTTGGTTCAACACAGTGGCGGGTCATTTTGACCCTAGGACAACGGGAGGGTTCATTTGAGCCAGTTTGCTACAGAAGGAAAGTAATCTTGCAGCAAGAGGAAATGTGTATTATTATGTGGAGTATAATTCATTGAGATTATTTGTAAGGGTTGATACATTTTTTGTTAGGGCAAATCAAGTCTGAAATGTTAAAGTGGAAATTACAAACTTTAGGAGCCTTTTTAAACCTCAAATACTACTTTGCATAACCAAATCCTGCTGGTCCTAAAACGGCTCTGTTTCTTTTCTTCAGATACTGCCCTTCACTATATTAAGGCCCAATCCCAAATCGACCACTTGACCCTATGCCATATCTCCTTGACCCTATGCCATATCTCCTTGACCCTATGCCATATCTCCTTGTGGGGTTCTGAGAGGATTTGACAGGTGTCGATTTGGGAATGAGCCTAAAACCCCATTATTGGTCTATTTTAAGTCCCTCCTAAATATATTTTCTAAGCCCACCTGTAATTAGTTATTTTCAAATGTTTATTTCATATTTTTATCGACACGGCGGTCACTGCGGCAGGTTTGTTTATCCCATATGAAAGGTTCTCATCATTATGCGCAGGGCGTGTAAGGTAAAGCTCACATAAGGTTATACATAAGGTTACTTTGTCCAAAATCGTGCTAATAGCATTGTAAATCATAAAGACATGAAGTGTCAACCAGGTCACAATGTTCTGCAACATGCATTAGTTACTAAGGTTCCTACGCTGAACCCTCCATCCCCTATGCTTTTGTTATTCACAGTCATTTACTGTAGTGTTTTGGTCTCTTGAGTGGACCTCTAGGAAGGTTCGGAGGCTGAAGTTTCACCTTAGATTACCTATGCCAGCAAAAACAACATATGCAAAAATACGTTGTGAATTCCTTGTCCTGAAAATGTTCTTCAAAGCTTTAAGGGTAGTGTTGAAGGGGAATGGATGGGTTGGTTTCATAAAAAAACTTTACTTGAACCCATTGCCATAAAACCTTCATAAACCTGTCATAGCAATGATACACTATATATACAAAAGTATGTGGACACCCCTTCAAATTTGTGGATTTGGCTATTTCAGCTACACCCGTTGCTGACAGGTGTATAAAATCGAGCACACAGCCATGCAATCTCCTTAGACACACATTAGCTGTAGATTGACCTTACTGAAGAGCTCAGTGACTTTCAATGTGGCACCGTCATAGGATGCCACCTTTCCAACAAGTCAGTTCCTCAAATTTCACATTTCTGCCCCGGTCAACTGTAAGTGCTGTTATTGTGAAGTGGAAACGTCTAGGAGCAACAATGGCTCAGCCGCGAAGTGGTAGGCCACACAAACTCACAGAACGGGACCGCCGAGTGCTGAAGCGCTTAGCACGTCAAAATCGTCTGTCCTCTGTTGCAACACTCACTACTGAGTTCCAAGCTGCCTCTGGAAGCAATGTCAGCACAATAACTGTTAATCGGGAGCTTCATGAAATGGGATTCCATGGCCGAGCAGCCGCACACAAGCCTAAGATCACGATGCGCAATGCCAAGCGTCGGCTGGAGTGGTGTAAAGATCGCCGCCATTGGACTTTGTAACAGTGGAAACGCGTTCTCTGGAGTGATGAATCACACTTCACCATCTGGAAATCTGACGGACGAATCTGGGTTCGGCGGATGCCAGGAGAACGCTACCTGCCCGAATGCATAGTGCCAACTGTAAAGTTTGGTGGAGGAGGAATAATGGTCTGGGGCTGTTTTTCATGGTTTGGGCTAGGCCCCTTAGTTGTGAAAAGCCTTCCCAGAAGAGTGGAGGCTGTTATAGCAGCAAAGTGGGCACCAACTCCATGTTAATGCCCATGATTTTGGAATGAGATGTTCGACGAGCAGGTGTCCACATACTTTTGGTCATGTAGTGTATGACATAACAGCCATAAAAGTATTAAGTAGGCCTTATGAAGAGTGTTACCATAAACTCACTAGAGAGGATAGGATGACATCTTGAGAAGATAGGAGGGCATCTTGAGAGGATAGGACATCTTAAGACGATAGGAGGACATATTGAGAGGATAGGACATCTGAGGACATATTGAGAAGATAGGAGGACATATTGAGAAGATAGGAGGACATATTGAGAAGATAGGAGGGCATTTTGAGAAGATAGGAGGGCATATTGAGAAGATAGGAGGACATATTGAGAAGATAGGAGGACATATTGAGAAGATAGGAGGGCATGTTGAGAAGATAGGGGGACATATTGAGAAGATAGGAGATAGGAGGACATCTTGAGAAGATAGGAGGGCATCTTGAGAAGATAGGAGGGCATATTGAGAAGATAGGAGGACATATTGAGAAGATAGGAGGACATATTTAGAAGATAAGAGAACATCTTGAGAAATAGGAGGGCATCTTGAGAAGATAGGAGGGCATCTTGAAAAGATAGGAGGGCATCTTGAGAAGATAGGAGGGCATCTTGAGAAGATAGGAGGACATATTGAGAAGATAGGAGGACATATTGAGAAGATAGGAGGACATCTTGAGAAGAGAGGAGGACATCTTGAGAAGATAGGAGGGCATCTTGAGAAGATAGGAGGGCATCTTGAGAAGATAGGAGGACATTGAGAAGATAGGAGGACATATTGAGAAGATAGGAGGGCATCTTGGGAAGATATGAGGACATATTGAGAAGATATGAGGACATATTGAGAAGATAGGAGGGCATGTTGAGAAGATAGGAGGACATATTGAGAAGATATGAGATAGGAGGACATCTTGAGAAGATAGGAGGGCATCTTGAGAAGTTGGAGGGCATATTGAGAAGATAGGAGGACATATTGAGAAGATAGGATGACATATTGAGAAGATATGAGGGCATCTTGAGAAGATAGGAGGACATATTGAGAAGATAGGAGGACATATTGAGAAGATAGGAGGACATCTTGAGAAGATAGGAGGACATCTTGAGAAGATAGGAGGACATATTGAGAAGATAGGAGGACATATTGAGAAGATAGGAGGACATCTTGAGAAGATAGGAGGGCATCCTGAGAAGATAGGAGGGCATCCTGAGAAGATAGGAGGGCATATTGAGAAGATAGGAGGACATATTGAGAAGATATGAGGACATATTGAGAAGATAGGAGGACATCTTGAGAAGATAGCAGGACTTCTTGAGAAGATAGGAGGGCATGTTGAAAAGATAGGAGGACATATTTAGGAGATAGGAGGACATATTGAGAAGATAGGAGGACATTGAGAAGATAGGAGGACATCTTGAGAAGATAGGACATCTTGAGAAGATAGGAGGACATCTTCAGAGGATAGGAGGACATCTTGAGAATTATCAGTCTTCAGACTAGAGTACATCTAAAATGAGAGTAACAACCATTTAACCATTTTGGTAGTTAGTTTGGACTGGCTTGGTCCTTACCATTCTCCCCTATATTGTCCTTTCCTCCACTTCCCCTCTCTCATCTCTCCTCCTCTCACATCTCTTCTTCATCCCTGCATCAGAAGTGTCAGAACGTGTCCTACTGCGGGCAGCAGTGTGGCTCTCTGCGCTACGGCACTGGCACTGCTGGCACTGACACGGGCACTGTTGGCACTGGAGCTTCTCCCTGCCCGTCATCGTCATGCCACCAACAGTCACCATGCCCGCCACCGTGCCACCCTCACCAGGGCTGCCAACGCGGCTGTTACCACAGCCTGCTTCACAACAACCACATGAACCATGAACACATGAACCACGCCCTCAACCACACCCTCAACCACGCCCATAACCACGCCCACAACCATGGACAAAAACACAACAAGTACCCCAACAGCAAATCAGTACGTCAACCACAGTAGATAGCCGCTGTGCTTGCTGTGTCTTAAAGTAACAGTGTAGTATTCTTAGCAGTTCTTGTAAAGTTATTATGTGGTAGAAAAGTGCATTATCCACTACGTTTCCAGCAATGGTTCCCAAACTGTGGCTATACCCCCTTGTGGTCCAGGAAATGTCTTTCAATTTATTTCATATAAATGGTATTAGCCTGCAAAACATAACAACTCATGTTTTATTATGGTCCGTTGGGGGGGGAAAGTCTGGAAACCACTGAGCTGCAAAGTAGATTAGCGCCAGCAGGTTTTTATAGTTTTAGCTGCAACCAGTCAAAGTTGTTTTATGCTGGTGTTTTTATATCTATATAGATGTGTTTTTAGATTAAGTTTTGGGATCCAAATGTTGTTTTGTTCTTGCATCTGTTCCAATGATAATTCAGCCAGAAGTGATTTGGGTTATCTTGTGCTTAAGTGGTTTCCAGTGTTGGCTGAACCCAAGGCTAATGTGAATGCCCTCCTCAATAACGTCTGGACAAACTGTAGTTTGTAATGATGCTGACGGTTAACCTGACTTACTTTCTATACTCAGCCTGTGTGTACGTGTGTGGGAGTGCGTACATACGTGCTAAGATGAGGGAGATAGAGATGGAGAGAGCGAGAGAGAGAGAGCGAGAGGAGAGAGGAGAGAGAGAGAGAGGAGAGAGAGGAGAGAGAGAGAGAGAGAGAGAGAGAGAGAGAGAGAGAGAGAGAGAGATTAGTTTAAATCCTCAATTGTCCGTTTAGGCGAGAGCCATTTGTGCGGCTGTGTGATTTGCGTACTAAGAGCTTTCCTCTCCTCTGAGGCCTGTATTCATTCTCTCCCGTGCTCTTTCCCTTTCAAATGTTCTCTTTCTCTTTCTGTCCCTCTATCTTTCTCTCTCCTTCTCTCTGCCATTCCCCTCCCTCCATCTTCCTCCATCTCTTGGTATTGTTTGGTATTTTATCAGGATCCCCATTAGCTGTTGCGAAAGCAGCAGCTACTCTTCCTGGGGTCCACATCTCTCTCTTCCTCCCTCTTCTTCTCTCTCTTTCCCTTTCCTTCCCTCCTTCCCTCCTTCCCTCCCTCTCTCTCTGTCGTGCCCAAAAGGCTTTATACTTTAATATCCAAACAAAGGCTTTTGTGAGTGGGTTCCGTGGAGGACGCTAGGCGGATTGGTGCTGTGGGGAGAGAGGAGAAGAGAGAGTGGAGAGGCCTAGGTCTGCATGGCAATGTGGTGCCACATTTAGTTTCACATTCACATTTGAGAGGTTTGCATGGAGGCCATTTTGGAAAGGAACACTGGAACTTTCCCTCATTCAATCCAAGCAATCTGTTTGTGTGGTGCTGTTTGTGTTGCTTCTTTTACAAAGTTATTTGTTCCAACCACTCAGAGTTGAGGGGAAATTCTCTCGTGAAGGTTACAAAAGACAAGCTGAGGGAAACAAGAGCAGGAGGCTTTAGGTAGAGCTGGTGTTTGGTTGAAAGAGAGGACAGTAAATAACTTGAAAGAGACCAGTGACTTGAGATGGCCATTGCAGAACAGACAAAAATGGCAATATAGCTGTTAATGTGCTTCAGATGATGCACCAAGAAATATGTAGAGTAGATGTAGAAGTGTTTGATTAAAGGAGGGCAAGGGTAGAGAAGTTGAAATAGACCAGGGACTTATTATCAGTGGCAATATTCTTTTTCTCTCTGTACCATCTGTAGCACCATTAGAAAGGTGTAGTCTAACATCTCTGTCTTTGTCTCTAAATCATCTGTAGCACCATTAACAAGGTGTAGTCTAACATCTCTGTCTTTGTCTGTAGCATCATTAGAAAGGTGTAGCCTAACATCTCTGTCTCTAAATTATCATCTGTAGCACCATTAACAAGGTGTAGTCTAACATCTCTGTCTTTGTCTGTAGCATCATTAGAAAGGTGTAGCCTAACATCTCTGTCTCTAAATTATCATATGTAGCACCATTAACAAGGTGTAGTCTAACATCTCTGTCTCTAAATTATCATCTGTAGCACCATTAACAAGGTGTAGTCTAACATCTCTGTCTCTAAATTACCATTTGTAGCACCATTAACAAGGTGTAGTCTAACATCTCTGTCTCTAAATTATCATCAGTAGCACCATTAACAAGGTGTAGCCTAACACATGAGCGACATCACACACTGTGTGTCTGTGTATTGGTGTGATGTTATTTTCATCTTTCAAAAGCACCTCTCCTCTCAGCTTCAGTCGTTTCTGTTTCATCTGTGAGGGCCTTCCCCTGGTTGCTAGGGCTGTCTGGCATCAATATGGCTGGCTGGCATCAATATGGAATGGACATTTTTTCAATTGCTAACAAGCATCGGTCAATACTGAAGCCACTTTTTCTAAACTCTTCACACAGTCTGCATTACCAACATGCATCTTGGCCAAACAGTTAATCTCACCTCCAAAACTCACTCAAACCACCAAAACACTTCATACATGTCTCAAAATAAGTTCGTTCGACCATAACACTGGCAACAATTCTCACTCAGAAAGCATATATTGTCACTCATAACACACTGACCTAAAAAACACTAACAACAGGGAGCATTACATAAATTATTAACTTTTCTCTTTGAAGTTTGAATGATTTTTCACATAAATCAGTATTTCATTATAGAATAAGAATAACACCTTTTCACTTTATTGACTGTACTAAAGTATATGTAACAAGAATGATTCAGAAATGCAGCAATTTGCTTCAATCTTTACATATAGTAATTTACTTGTGAAAAATAAAAAGTTGAAACAAAAAACAAAATCCTGAAATTCCAGGGCTGCAATAATAATTTACAAAAAAAACATCAACAACATGTATAGGATAATCACGCATACTGTACAGTACTGTGAGGTGTTCTAGTTCTCCCTCTCTCCTGCATTTGGCCACAAGTTCTCATATTGATACCGGAGTTCTTTCACACTTTCACTGTTTATCTCAAAGGGTACAGTGTACATCTGCTTCATCCCTAGTTTATGTTATTTTATGTTTCTGACCGTCTTCACATTCCCAAAAGGGATATTGTCTGCCAGCACCCTGTCCCGAATTTCCCACAGTTTTATTGCATTGTTGCCAATTACCATGGCAACAATGGCAATTTCCTGCGCATCTGATAATATTCTGGCTCTCCCTCCTATGGGAGGCAAGCTTTGGATCCTACTGAAAAACACAAAACAATCAATATATTTCCAAATGTCAGTACATGTTAAAATGTGAACATACTGTGTTGTACGGTAATATGTAGTTCAATTATCATTGAACGATGCACATCACACCTGTTTTTGCTGGAAAATGTGTACTATTGATGCAACTGTTGAATGCTGCAGATTTGGTTTCACCCTTAAACCGGCCTCTCTCAAAGAGAGACCATGGTTTACAACATGGACAATAATTGTGGCCCTTATCTCATCAGGGACCACCACTCTTGGTCTTCCTCTCCTTTGTCCTCCACGCATTCTCCCTCAACCCTGCCCCTCTCCCTCTCCCTCTCCCTGCCCTCTCCTCTCCCCTCTCTCTCTCCCTCTCCCTCTCCCTCTCCCTCTCCCTCTCCCTGCCACTCTTCTTTCCCCACCAACCGGTCTTCCTTGATCCATGTTTCCAAACTAAATCATTCAAAAGCCGTCCTCTTTTGTCTGTTTGGTAACGAGACTAAAACAGGACACTTGGGTAGGCTTTCAACTGAACTTGCAATCAGCTGTGTTTGGAGTGATTCAATATTCTGCTGAGATTTTCAATATGTTTCAATCTGGTTACTGCAGAAATGCACGACATTTGCCATCATTCTGTTTTGAATGTGTTTTTAACCGTTTTGGAAACAGTGTGTTAGCATTTGAAAACGTGCTGCAAATATATAGTTTTGCAGGTGGTGGAATATAAATGAGAAAAGAGTTCATGGATTTCGGAGAATGTGGTCATTGAATACATTTTGTGTGAAAGCAATGAAAAATGATTCACAGTTTGGTCCAGGTACACTTCTGTTTCGCTGACTGTGTGAAGAGTTTTGACAATGTGACTTCAGTTTTGACCAATCCATGTTAGCAATTGAAAAAAACTGTAATCGCTGTCTCTTGATGTTGTATTAGTTGGAATAGAATATTTGACTACTGTCTGTATTATTCTGTTTCCCAATGTTTCCCCAAAACCATACTATACCTATTACACACACAGACGCACACACACACACATACACAAACACACACACACACACACACACACACACACACACACACACACACACACACACACACACACACACACACACAAACACACATACACACACTGCTGTGTAACTGTCTCTCTTCTTCCCCATGCTTTCTGCCAGTCGGACTTTGAAAAAGATGTGGACCTGGCGTGTCAAACAGGTATATTCTCTCTCTCTCTCTCTCTCTCTCTCTCTCTCTCTCTCTCTCTCTCTCTCTCTCTCTCTCTCCCTCCCTCTCTCCATCACACTCTTTTGAATCAGTCTAACATGCTGTCAATGTGCACAGGGGAGCACTACGCTATAGCTAAGGCTTTGCTTGTCTGAATGTAAATGCAGTGATGGGAAAAATGGAGTCTCGGAATTCAATCATGAGCGGGACTATTTTGCCCTGTCAATCACACTGATTTCGTCCAATGAGATCTCTCTGACTTGAAGGAATGAATCTCTTATTGGCTGAGCACGGTAGCCCTTGTTCCCCAGCACTGGAATTTGGATGTGTGTGTGTGTGTGTGCGTGTGTGTGTGTGTGTGTGTGTGTGTGTGTGTGCGTCTGTGTGTGTGTGTGTATGTGTCTGTGTGTGTATGTGTCTGTGTGTGTTTGTGTGTGTGATGTGTGTGTGTGTGCGTCTGTGTGTGTATGTGTCTGTGTGTGTATGTGTCTGTGTGTGTTTGTGTGTGCGTCTGTGTGTGTATGTGTCTGTGTGTGTATGTGTCTGTGTGTGTTTGTGTGTGTGATGTGTGTAACACTGTGGATGTAAATTAACACCCAGTCATGGTTCCTCTCCCCCTCCACCCTTGCAGAGAGAGGACACCCATGTAAGTCTGGCTCCAACCTGACCCTCAGAACACTGTCAATACTAATGGCCCAACCCTAACTTGAGATATACATCAAACTCCTAACTCAAACTTTCATGCAAATCTTGTAGAACAAAGAAGGATGTAAAAACGCTGCAGGGATAAACTGTTATGTCTTTGTAGATTTAAGGTGGTCTCTGATTAAGGGCCCTGTTCAGTAGAACAACATCTAAATGATTATTTTACTCCCTGACAATGGCTTTGCCGAGATTGTTTTCAGATTTTCTTCTATTGAACATTCCATTATAATAATATAATTGAATTATATGAAGAGTACCTTGATTCTCCTTGTTCTGTCTCTCATTAACATCAATACAGAAACTGTATGAAACTTTGAGCTACTTGCAGATGTACGTACTTACAGATCCTCCTCAGTTAATTGTGGCCCAGCAGTGACCACTTCAAACTCTTGACGATCTCAGTGTGTGCATGTAATTCAGCATGACTGTGTGACTATAAGGTGAGAGTAACGGTGGTACGACTTCGGACTGTATTCAATCAAAAACATTTAGTTGATTGATTGAATATGGCCCATTGAGTGACCATATCCAATCTGACCGGTGTAAGCCTGATTTTGTGACCAGGTTAGCATGAATGTGTTATTAATTTGCATGTAGGGTTAAATATGTTGCTCCAGGTGAACTGTTGTGCTGACTATATACAGTAGGCCATGTTAGTATGACCTTTATGTCTATCTATTAGATTGACTAAGGCTACACCTCAAATGGCACCCTATTCCCTGCCTAGTGCACTACTTTTGCATGTGACCATGATCAGAACAAGTGCACTATACAGGAACAGGATGTCATGTGATATTTGGCCTTATTCGTTTAGATGTTGACTCTTACCAGTTAGTCATATATTGTAGTAGGGTATTTTAGAAGTGTCTTCATTCCTTTGTTTGTTCACTAAACTAAAAGTATGACAATGAAAAGGACAACCCAAACATTCTCTAAGTCAAGGTTACTTTCATATTCTGTTTCATTGTGGTCTCGGTATAAGATATAAAATCTCATCCTACCTTGCTGTTGGTCTCAGGACACGCACAGACACAATATAAAGCAATCTGTCACAACTAGACAGGGAATAATGAGTTCCCATAGTGACCATGTGATGGAATGGAAGGCAGCAGCAGGGGGTTATCCAGGTCCATTTCATTTGGAGCCAGCTGCATTTTACACAATGTCACTGGCTGTGTCTCAAATGGCTCTACTTTTGACCTGAGCCCTATTGAGCCCTGGTCAAAAGTAGTGCACTATACAGAGAATATGGTGCCATTTGGGACAGAGACACTCTATCATACATCTAATCAAATAGCCAGACTGCCTCTATCTAGAGTATATACTGGGAGAGAATAGCTGAGGGCCACAGTGTCAGGAACAAAGCTCACCTCTGCTGCGTTACCCCTACCAATGGACCGGGCCAGATGGAGTCTAGAGAGGGTTTTCTGTCTTCTTGCCACTAGCTTTCAAGAGTTGATGAATGGTTCTGCTTCTTGTCATGTTTTGTTGCAGTTTTACATGTTTATTCATTCCATAGGTGTCTATTATTTAAAACCATGTTAGGAGGCTCAATGAACATATGCCTCTGTTCTCTCACTCTTTCTCTCTCTTTCTTTCTTTCTCTCTCTCTCTCTCTCTCTCTCTCTCTCTCTCTCTCTCTCTCTCTCTCTCTCTCTCTCTCTCTCTCTCTCTCTCTCTCTCTCTCTCTCTCTCTCACTCTCTCTGTTCGTACTATTTTCCCATCTTCCCCATTTTAACTGTTTTAATGTACTGTATTGCAAGTTGACTTCATATGCCTCACCCTCTTCTTTATATCCATCCGTCCTGCTATCTCTATTCTGCTCTCTATCCCCACCTCCTTTCCTCTCTCCCCTCCCTCTCTCCCTCCAGTCATCTTCAAGGAGGTGAACACCTGTAACCCAGCAACCATCACCGGGACCCTCTCCCGTATCTCCCTTGATGAAGAGGACGACCTCAAGCTGTCGGCCCACCAGGAAGGGGGCCTAGGGGTCAACTTCAGCTCCCTCCCCGGAAACATCCCCCCTCCTAACCTACTCGTCCAGGTGAGGGACTGATTGGATGGAATGGATGGATGGGAAATGGGCGGATGGGCAATGGGATTAAATGCAAAAAAAAAACTACTCACACAATCAAATTTTGTTTCATTTAAGCCTATCAGTGTGCCGGACATTTGCATATACCCTCCCTCTCAGGGCTGTTGGGGCATTAGGGGCAGCAGGTAGCCTAGCGGTTAGAGAGGCGACTCAGAGGGTTGCCAGCTCGAATCTGGCGGGAAGTGAGCTGGCAACCGGAGGGTTGCTGGTATGAAATCCTAGATGCCATTGACTGCTGTTGTGCCATTGAGCAAGGAACATAACCCCCCACAACAACAGATCCCCAGCGCCCAATGTGGCAGCCCCTCACACCTCTCCAAAACCTGAATATGTATGTGTGTCTTTCGGAGGGGTTGGGTTAAAGGTGGAAGTCACATTTCGGTTGGATTTGTACATTGACCAATAAAGTGATTTTAATATTACTATTTTTTTTAACCAGAAATGAAGTAAAACACTATACAGTAAATAGGCTTTAGTGATATCAGTGATAACTCATCTATAGTGTATTTAGTGATATCAGTGATAACTAATCTATAGTATCTTTAGTGATATTGGTGATAACTAATCTATAGTGGCTTTAGTGATATCAGTGATAACTGATCTATAGTATCTTTAGTGATATCAGTGATAACTAATCTATAGTATCTTTAGTGATATATCAGTGATAACTAATCTATAGTGGCTTTAGTGATATCAGTGATAACGGATATATATTGTATTTATTGACATCAGTGATAACTAATCTCTAGTATCTTTAGTGATATCAGTGATAATTAATCTATAGTGGCTTTAGTGATATCAGTGATAACTAATCTATATTGTATTTAGTGATAGCATTTATAACTCATCTATAGTGTATTTAGTGATATCAGTGATAACTCATCTATAGTGTATTTAGTGATATCAGTGATAACTCATCTATACTGTCTTTAGTGATATCAGTGATAACTAATCTATATTGTATTTAGAAATATCAGTGATAACTAATCTATAGTATCTTTAGTGATATTGATGATAACTAATCTATAGTGGCTTTAGTGATATCAGTGATAACTAATCTATAGTATCTTTAGTGATATCAGTGATAACTCATCTATAGTATCTTTAGTGATATATCAGTTGATAACTAATCTATAGTATCTCTAGTGATATCAGTGATAACTAATTTATATTGTATTTAGTGATAGCATTTATAACTCATCTATAGTGTATTTAGTGATATCAGTGATACCTCATCTATAGTGTATTTAGTGATATCAGTGATAACTCATCTATACTGTCTTTAGTGATATCAGTGATAACTAATCTATATTGTATTTAGAAATATCAGTGATAACTAATCTATAGTATCTTTAGTGATATTGGTGATAACTAATCTATAGTGGCTTTAGTGATATCAGTGATAACTAATCTATAGTATCTTTAGTGATATCAGTGATAACTAATCTATAATATCTTTAGTGATATCAGTGATAACAGATCTATATTGTATTTATTGACATCAGTGATAACTAATCTATAGTATATTTAGTGATATCAGTGATAACTAATCTATAGTGGCTTTAGTGATATCAGTGATAACGGATCTATATTGTATTTATTGACATCAGTGATAACTAATCTATAGTATCTTTAGTGATATCAGTGATAATTAATCTATAGTGGCTTTAGGGATATCAGTGATAACTAATCTATAGTATCTCTAGTGATATCAGTGATAACTAATCTATATTGTATTTAGTGATATCAATGATAACTAATATTTAGTGATATCAGTGATAACTAATCTATATTGTATTTAGTGATATCCGTGGTAACTAATCTATATTGTCTTTAGTGATATCAGTGATAACTAATCTAAATTGTCTTTAGTGATATCAGTGATAACTAATCTATATTGTCTTTAGTGATATCAGTGATAACTAATCTATATTGTATTTAGTGATATCAGTGATAACTAATCTATATTGTCTTTAGTGATATCAGTGATAACTAATCTAAATTGTCTTTAGTGATATCAGTGATAACTAATCTATATTGTCTTTAGTGATATCAGTGATAACTAATCTATATTGTATTTAGTGATATCAGTGATAACTAATCTATATTGTCTTTAGTGATATCAGTGATAACTAATCTATATTGTATTTAGTGATATCAGTGATAACTAATCTATATTGTCTTTAGTGATATCAGTGATAACCAATCTATATTGTATTTAGTGATAGAAAAAAAATTGCTATCTAGAACCTAAAAGGGTTCTTCGTCTGTCCCCATACGATAACCCTTTGAAGCCCTTTTTGGTTCCAGGTAGAACTCTTTTGGGCTCCATGTCTACCTGGAACCAAAAAGGGTTATCCTATGGGGACAGCTGAAGAACCCTTTTGGAACCCTTTTTTCAAAGAGTGTATTTAGTGATGTCAGTGATTTTCTAGTCCCTCCTGTAGCTCAGTTGGTAGAGCATGGCGCTTGCAACGCCAGGGTTGTGGGTTCGATTCCCACCGGGGGCCCAGTATGAAAAATTTATGCAGTCACTAACTGTAAGTCGCTCTGGATAAGAGTGTCTGCTAAATTACTAAAATGTAAATAATATATTTAGTGACGGCTCCTTTAATGTGAGTTCCCCGTCCCACCATGCAGGTGCCCCCGCTGGGTGTTCTGAATGAGCTGAGTGACACCCCTGTGAAGAAGGAGGTGAACGTGGAGCAGCAGATGCACCAGGGGAACCCCAGGAACACGGCGCCTGTCTACCTGTGCACCGAGAGCGGGATGGGCTGGTCTCGACCGCCCCCTCCTCCCAACACTCTGGATGGACCTGGTGGGGGAGGGGAGGGGGACTATATGGTGTTACCCCGTAGGACGGTCAGTTTAAAACCCCCTCTGCCCCCAGGGCTGGGCCTGGGGCTGGGGGGTGAGGACAAGCCGCTGAGCATCGCAGTGGACGACCCGCCTTTCCCCCCGCCCCCATCGCCCATGACCCTCCACCCGGTGGAGAGCGAGGCCTACCCGGCTGACTTCATCTCCCCCAGCGACCACAACATGAACATGAACATGGACATGAACATGAACCTGTTCTTACGGGACGCTCAAGCAGCTCCCCGTGCACGGGGGTCACGGTCCCCAGGGCCACATGCACGCTCCAGGCGTCCACATCCACGGAGGCCACATGCACGGCTACGGGCACTCGCTGCAGCTGAAGCCGGGCCAGATGCCGTCGGTGAGGCAGATTCTAACAGGAGGGGGAGGCACGGTGGAGCGCACCCTGACCATGCCACGCAACCTGGGCAGCACCAACACTAACACCAGCCTCTCCGCTGGCTCCCTGGAGGTAAAGAGAGAGGGATGGAGGGACGGGAGGAGAGAGGGGTGGAAAAGTGTTTTCAACCAGGTAGCATCACAGCTAGCATCAGTCTCTCTGCTTGCTGGCTTCCTGGACAAAAATAAAAAGGAAGGGGGTGATGGAGGGAACCGATGGGAGGAAGAGGAGAGGAGAGGGAGGAGGGGGAGAAGGCAGGATGGGGGGAGAAGGGAGGATGGGGGGAGAAGGCAGGATGGGGGGAGAGGAAGGAGAGATGGGGGGAGAAGGGAGGATGGGAGGAGAAGGGAGGATGGGGGGAGAAGGGAGGATGGGGAGAAGGAGAGGACAGGATGGGGAGGAGAGGGGGAGGGAGAGGGGATGGGAGGAGAGGAAGGATGGGATAGGAGAGGAGAGGAGGAAGACAGGATGGGTGGGGATGGGAGGAGAAGGGAGGATGGGAGCGAAGGCGAGGATGGGGGGAGAACGGAGGATGTGGGGGGAGTGGGGGAGAAGGTCGGATGGGGATGGAGGAGAGGCGGGATGGGGAGAAGGTGGGAAATGGGAGGATACGGATGGATGGGGGAGAGACCGGAGATGGGGAGTAAGGAGGATGGGAGGAGAAAGGCAGGATTTGGCGGGAGGAGAAGGCAGGATGGGGGGAGAAGGCAGGATGGGGGAGAAGGGGTGCCAGATATAAACACAAACTGCTCTCTCCACACACACACGTTGTTCAGATACAAGGTTGAACAAAACCCATCACAGAAAGAACACACACCAATCTTTCTCACATACACACTGTGTGTTATCAGAGGGGTGAAAGAGCTTACTGTTGAAACATAGTGACTTCCTATAGTCATGTCCCAGGGTTGATATTGGAAGAGAGAGAGGATGGGTATGAAGAATAAACCAGGGTATTGAATGGTGATTTAACTGTGGATGCCGCTGTGATCAAGGTCTGTGAGAAGTCTGTGTGTGAGGCATGCATGCGCGCATTCTTGTGGAAATATAACCACTAGTCCAGGGTTTCCCCAACTCGGTCCTGGGGACCGCAAGGGGTGCACGATTTGGTTTTTCCCTAACACTGCACAGCTGATTCAAATAACCAACTAATCAGAAAGCTTTGATCATTTGAATCAGCTGTGTAGTGCTAGGGCAAAAACCAAAAGGTGCACCAATTGGGGTCCCCAGGACAGAGTTGGGGAAACGCTGCTCTAGTCGGTTATATGTGTGAGAAATGATTACTTATTATGGGATATAAAGACGTCTACATTCATGCAGATGGATAAACACACACACAAATACTTGTGTGTCTATAATCACCCTCCCGGCGTACAAGGAGGCAGAGCAGATGGGGTGAGAGGGACAGGAGAACAGGAGAGTGCCTGTCTGCCCACCTTAATTACATACACACACACACACAATCACTTGCCGTAGACATACACACACACACACACACACACACACACACACACACACACACACACACACACACACACACACACACTCAGGATCCTGCTGCCTCACAAGGTTGATGAAGGAATGGGGACAGTACTTACACCGAAGGACAGAGAAGTGCACATGCTTTATGTAGAATGAAATACATTACAGCCCAGTCTTTAAAACATCTCACTCACTCAGATGTATGGCTGCATCCCAAATAGCACCCTCTTCCCTATTTAGTGCACTGCTTTTGACCAGGGGTAGGCCCACTATATAGGGAATAGGGTATAATTCTGAACTCAGACTTTGAGAGTCCACTCCTGAATATCGTTAAACATCCCTCTGAGAGACCTCTGAGATATCCCTGTGCTTAGCGGGATGTATTGTCTCTGTCCCAAATGACACCACATGAGGTTGGTGGCCCCTTAATTGGGGAGGACGTGCTCATGGTAATGGCTGGAACAGAATCAGTGGAATGGTTTCAAATACATCAAACATGGTTTCCATGTGTTTAATGCCATTCCATTTGCTCCGTTCCAGCCATTATTATGAGCCGTCCTCCCTTCAGCAGCCTCCACTGAATGACACCCTATTCCCTCTATAGCACACTACTTTTGACCTGTGGCTCTGGTCAAAAGTAGTGCACTATAAAGGGAATAGGATTCCATTTGGGACGCAGCCATCATTTATCAGATGCTTGGATAAGCAGTTTATTTGACGGAGCTTGAATGCTCCTTAAAATCAAACTCAAACATGAAGATGCATAGTGTAACAAATTACAGAAATTGACTTGATTGCTTTTGAGATTCTGGAGAGGGGTTGAGGTTTTGGTATTGAAACGGCTTGATTTGTAGATTTTAATGTGAAAGCTAGAATAAGTCCATTGAAAAGCTCTGTAATGGTGTTTGCTGCTGTGAAGAGACTGGCATGAAAAGTAGAGGAGGGAGTGATGATGGAAGGAGAGGAGAGGAGAGGAGAGGAGAGGAGAGGAGAGGAGAGGAGAGGAGAGGAGAGGAGAGGAGGAGAGGAGAGGAGAGGAGAGGAGAGGAGAGGAGGGAGAGGAGAGGAGAGGAGAGGAGAGGAGAGGAGAGGAGAGGAGAGGAGAGGAGAGGAGAGGAACACATATTTTCCCCCTTTTCATGTGATCACTTGATCTTATGTGAAGTTAATGTGACAACATGTAACAACATGTAAGGCAACATGTGATAACATGAAACCACACGTGAAAAGGGATTTCAGCTAACTGTAGGACCAGGGCTTTCAGCTAAATGTAGGACCAGGGCGTTCAGCTAACTGTAGGACCAGGGCGTTCAGCTAACTGTAGGACCAGGGCTTTCAGCTAAATGTAGGACCAGGGCTTTCAGCTAACTGTAGGACCAGGGCTTTCAGCTAAATGTAGGACCAGGGCTTTCAGCTAACGGTAGGACCAGGGCTTCAGCTAACGGTAGGACCAGGGCTTTCAGCAAAATGTAGGACCAGGGATTTCAGCTAACGGTAGGACCAGGGCTTTCAGATAAATGTAGGACCAGGGCTTTCAGCTAACTGTAGGACCAGGGCTTTCAGCTAAATGTAGGACCAGGGCTTTCAGCTAACTCTAGGACCAGGGCTTTCAGCTAAATGTAGGACCAGGGCTCTCAGCTAACGGTAGGACCAGGGCTTTCAGCTAAATGTAGGACCAGGGCTTCCAGCTAACTGTAGGACCAGGGCTTTCAGCTAAATGTAGGACCAGGGCTTTCAGCTAACTGTAGGACCAGGGCTTTCAGCTAAATGTAGGACCAGGGCTTTCAGCTAACGGTAGGACCAGGGCTTTCAGCTAAATGTAGGACCAGGGCTTTCAGCTAACGGTAGGACCAGGGCTTTCAGCTAACAGTAGGACCAGGGCTTTCAGCTAACGGTAGGACCAGGGCTTTCAGCTAACTGTAGGACCAGGGCTTTCAGCTAACGGTAGGACCAGGGCTTTCAGCTAACTGTAGGACCAGGGCTTTCAGCTAAATGTAGGGTCAATCTTCTCAGTGGTGTAAAGGGTTTCTGAGAAAGAGAGGGAGATGAAGCGAGAGAGCGAAAGAGAGAGAATGTCAGGGATAGACCAAAAGGCAGAGAGTTAACTCTTAAGTGGACTACATCCATCTCTTAGTGTACAGTAGGTACAGTCGTCCTTTAGGTTATACCAAGCTATGGAGTGACTGAGTGGTCTGACACAGGAGACAGCATGGAAGACAGTTGAAGGACATTACATTACTGTCTCAATCATTTAGGACATACCTTCAATAGAATAAAGGCTGTTGGTTATTGAGAACTTTAATAATATGTTTATTTTAAATAGATTTGACTGTACCATTGAATCCAAAGCAATGTACAGTAGACTGGTTTATTCTGAATATGTTGCCCATGTGGGAATGAAGCCCACAAGGTTCCAACAACCGGGTCATCAGAAGGACTGAATTCCATTGGAACCACTACATGACGTGTTTGTGTGTTTTGTGTTCACATGCACGTGGACAAGTAAAAACGACTACTTTGTTACACACGTGTTTATGTTGATGATCAGTGGAGGGGTCCAGGGATCTACAGACATTGATCATATCTTCTCTCCCCCGACCCCCTCCTCCCTCAGAGGAAAAGAGTACGGTACTCTGAGCTGGACTTTGAGGTAAGGTCCCACCCCCCACCCTCCCTTCAGGCTGTCTCTGCTTCTGTCTGCTTCAGCCAGGTTTGAGTGACGCATAGAGGAGACAATGGCATCGCTAACCCCCCCGCCCCCTTGCGCCTGTGTCTCCCTTGAATTTGACTTGGTACAGTCCAACCCATGCATAGTGTAGCCTGTTTCTACAACAAGGATCTAGGGCACCACCTGTAAATGGATGGAGTTGGTTTTGACTGATTTTAGCTTGATTGGCCAAAGGATTGATATATTGAACATATACCAGCAGGTATACAAAAAACAATAACTTAATGTAATTTTTTTCAATGAATCCGTCAATCATTTCAATCTGAATGGAAAATGCACAATGGGGTGCCAGGTCTTGGTTGAAGAAACAATGGTTTAGTAGAACGCTTTGTGTGGATGAATGAATGATTGACGGTGAGTTTATGCAAGTTTGGTATGATGTGTGTGTTTTGGGGGTAATCACGTGTGTTTGTGTGTGTGTTGGAGTGCAATAATCGCTCCGTGGAATGAACAAGCCTTGGGAATCTTGCAAATCTCCAGTCTCAAACAGCCCCCCCAACAATAAACTAAACTAAACCCCTTTGCTTTATTCAATGAATATTGGCTTTCCTTCCCCCTTATCCTTACCTTGTAAAGACTGGAGACTTGCTTTCCACTGCGTAGGCCTTGTCCATAGTAGAACTAAGGTATGTGTGGACTGTTGCACAACTAACAGGCTAACAAGCACTAGCGCTTAGCTACAGTTGGATAACCTGGAGTAGGATGATGTTGCCTAAGGGCAACTATTACCCAGAACTTATAACCCTTCCTGTCTGGCGTAGTCTGCAAAACTGCATGATATGTTCCTCAAAATGGCTGACTTCCTGTGTCAAAATGGACGCCAGTGTACCCCTTCACCGAGTGAGTGTCTGAGGGAGTGAGAGTTCAAGGTAAAGTAAGTGAGAGAAAAGAGCAGTGATGACAGACATGACATAGGAGAAGGGGCAGCGGGGACAAAAAACGACAGACAGTGACAGAAAGAAAGAGGGAGCTTTGGAGAGCGGGAGAGGTCGACTTTAAAGGAAGTAGATGTAAAGTTACTTATGAAGGCAGACTCTGAGACACAGAGAGAGAGAGAACTGACAGATGGAGAGAAGACAGTGCAGACTCTGTGGTAATTGGTGGCAGCGGTCACAGCCGGCCTTGGCCAGAGTGTCTGAGTTTGTGAGTGTCGCTGTCTGGCCCCTGTGTCTCTCTACGCCCTCTGATCGGCTATGTCGATTAGACGACACACCGCGCTGCTTAAGCGCTAGCCATTAGCGAAGAGAGCGAGTCGCTGTGACAAGGTCTCTATCCTGTCAGGGACTTCCACTTCCACTTGTAATAGGACATAGTTGCTCTTATAGATAATGGAACTTATAAGGTCAGTTGAGTCTCAGCTAAATGGTGAGGGGTAGGATTTGGGGAGGGTAAGATGATCCTAGATCTGTACTTACAGGAAACTTTTACTCAGAGACACTTCACTGCTGGCTAGTTGCTAACTAACTAATGCTAACTTGCTAAATAGCTAACACTAACATTAATGCAGCCTGTTTGGCTCTCATATCCATTCAGAGTAAACTCATTGACATGTTACATCACAGGCAGCATCGAGGCCTAATAGAGAACAGAGACATTTTAGCGAGAAGATGGGAGGACTCAGCTATCTATCCATCTATCCATCCCCTCCTCCCCCTCGCTGAGGCTGTCATCGCTCTCAGTCCCTTGGTCTCTTCCTCCTCATTGGCCCCTCCTCCCCCTCATCCCCTATCTATCTATCTATCTATCTATCTATCTATCTATCTATCTATCTATCTATCTATCTATCTATCTATCTATCTATCTATCTATCTATCTATCTATCTATCTATCTATCTATCTATCTATCTATCTATCTATCTATCTATCTATCTATCTATCTATCTATCTATCTATCTATCTATCTATCTATCTATCTATCTATCTATCTATCTATCTATCTATCTATCTATCTATCTATCTATCTTTTTATTTTCTTCATTTTTGTTGTACCTTCCTTCTCCTTCCAGAAAGTGATGCACACTCGCAAAAGACACTCTGAGCTGTACCCTGAGCTCAACCACCCCACCACCAAGTTCCACACCATAGACAGGTATAACAGGGACCCCACCATGTCCACTTTCAAGGTAAGAGCCCGACCCTACGGGGCGATTGGGAAATGGGGGCTAACTGCCCCCACCTCAACAACCCCTCCACACCACTCCCTACTCCCCCCTCACTGAGCTCAGCTCATTACCACCCCTAGTGGATCACCTATGAAATGGCATTGTTAATAAGATAATCTAGCATCTTTACAACAGTGACACCTAGTGTGTTTATTTTTGGTAAGGTTAGTAGTTAGTATACCCCCCACCTGGCACCTTAAGGTAAGGTTAGTAGTTAGTAAACCCCCCACCTGGCACCTTTTAGATAGGGAACATACTGTACTAAGGGCTGATTAGATAGGGAATATACTAAGAGCTGATTAGATAGGGAACATACTAAGAGCTGATTAGATAGAGAACATACTAAGGGCTGGTTAGATAGAGAACATACTAAGAGCTTAGATAGGGAACATACTAAGAGCTGATTAGATAGGGGACATACTAAGAGCTTAGATAGGGAACATACTAAGAGCTGATTAGATAGGGAACATACTAAGAGCTGATTAGATAGGGAACATACTAAGAGCTGATTAGATAGGGAACATACTAAGAGCTGATTAGATAGGGGACATACTAAGAGCTGATTAGATAGGGAACATACTAACAGCTTAGATAAGGAACACTAAGAGCTTAGATAGAGAACATACTAAGGGCTGGTTAGATAGAGAACATACTAAGAGCTTAGATAGGGAACATACTAAGAGCTGATTAGATAGGGGACATACTAAGAGCTTAGATAGGGAACATACTAAGAGCTGATTAGATAGGGAACATACTAAGAGCTGATTAGATAGGGAACATACTAAGGGCTGGTTAGATAGAGAACATACTAAGAGCTGATTAGATAGGGAACATACTGTACTAAGGGCTGATTAGATAGGGAACATACTAAGAGCTGATTAGATAGGGAACATACTAAGAGCTGATTAGGAGCTGCTTCCTGTGCTTGGCCCTCCTATGTTGAACATAATAAACAGCTCTCTATCCACCGGATGTGTACCAAACTCACTAAAAGTGGCAGTTATAAAGCCTCTCTTGAAAAAGCCAAACCTTGACCCGGAAAATATAAAAAACTATCGGCCTATATCGAATCTTCCATTCCTCTCAAAAATTTTAGAAAAAGCTGTTGCGCAGCAACTCACTGCCTTTCTGAAGACAAACAATGTATACGAAATGCTTCAGTCTGGTTTTAGACCCCATCATAGCACTGAGACTGCACTTGTGAAGGTGGTAAATGACCTTTTAATGGCGTCAGACCGAGGCTCTGCATCTGTCCTCGTGCTACTAGACCTTAGTGCTGCCTTTGACACCATCGATCACCACATTCTTTTGGAGAGACTGGAAACCCAAATTGGTCTACACGGACAAGTTCTGGCCTGGTTTAGATCCTACCTGTCGGAAAGATATCAGTTTGTCTCTGTGAATGGTCTGTCCTCCGACAAATCAACTGTACATTTCGGTGTTCCTCAAGGTTCCGTTTTAGGACCACTATTGTTTTCACTATATATTTTACCTCTTGGGGATGTTATTCGAAAACATAATGTTAACTTTCACTGCTATGCGGATGACACACAGCTGTACATTTCAATGAAACATGGTGAAGCCCCAAAATTGCCCTCGCTAGAAGCCTGTGTTTCAGACATAAGGAAGTGGATGGCTGAAAACTTTTTACTTTTAAACTCGGACAAAACAGAGATGCTTGTTCTAGGTCCCAAGAAACAAAGAGATCTTCTGTTAAATCTGACAATTCATCTTGATGGTTGTAAAGTCGTCTCAAATAAAACTGTGAAGGACCTCGGCGTTACTCTTGACCCTGATCTCTCTTTTGACGAACATATCAAGACTGTTTCAAGGACAGCTTTTTTCCATCTACGTAACATTGCAAAAATCAGAAATTTTCTGTCCAAAAATGATGCAGAAAAATTAATTGCTGTCCCCAGTCCGCCTGGCCTTGCTGCTATTCCAGTTTCAACTGTTCTGCCTGCGGTTATGGAACCCCTACCTGTCCCAGACCTGCTGTTTTCAACTCTTAATGATCGGCTATGAAAAGCCAACTGAGATTTATTCCTGATTATTATTTGACCATGCTTGTCACTTATGAACATTTTTGAACATCTTGGCATGGTTCTGTTATAATCTCCACCCGGCACAGCCAGAAGAGGACTGGCCACCCCTCATAGCCTGGTTCCTCTCTAGGTTTCTTCCTAGGTTTTCGCCTTTCTAGGGAGTTTTTCCTAGCCACCGTGCTTCTACACCTGCATTACTAGCTGTTTGGGGTTTTAGGCTGGGTTTCTGTACAGCACTTCGAGATATTAGCTGATGTAAGAAGGGCTATATAAAATAAATAAAATTGATTGATTGATTGATTGATTAGATAGCGGACATACTAAGAGATGATTAGATAGGGAACATACTAAGAGCTGATTAGATAGGGAACATACTGTACTAAGGGCTGATTAGATAGGGAACATACTAAGAGCTGATTAGATAGGGGACATACTAAGGGCTGATTAGATAGGGAACATACTAAGAGCTTAGATAGGGAACATACTAAGAGCTGATTAGATAGGGAACATACTAAGGGCTGGTTAGATAGGGAACATACTAAGAGCTGATTAGATAGGGGACATACTAAGAGCTGATTAGATAGGGAACATACTAAGGGCTGATTAGATAGGGAACATACTAAGGGCTGGTTAGATAGAGAACATACTAAGAGCTGATTAGATAGGGAACATACTACGAGCTGAATAGATAGGGAACATATTAAGAGCTGAATCCATACTTGAAATCCACACTTCTATCTCAATATTTTTGTACAAATCTTTCAATGATAGGTGGAAGTCTGAGTTACCTGCATGGATCTGAAGTTAGCATTCGACCCACAGTGACCCTCTTGAGGGCTGGCTAAAGTACATGGTATGACTATAATATCACTGAATAAAATATGAGGATGATGCTTCACTTTGCACTTAATGTTGCTTGAACTTCACACTGAACTCTGCACAAAATGTAGTCTGGTGTGAATCCCAAATGGCACCCTATTCCCTATATATTTGACCAGTGCCCTATGTGCCCTATTCAAAAGTAGTACAATATAAAGGGAACAAGGTGCCATTTGGGATGTGACCCTGATGTTACGGTGATTAACACTGCACAGAATGTAGTGACCATCGATCACACATCCGTACGTGTAACTTCTGTTTTCAAATGCACTTTGATAATGTCACTTAAACGTATTAAAAACTATGTTTTTTCACCTTTAACAAGAGCTAACCTCGACTAAACCAATTTAATGTATTTTGTTTTAGTGGTTGAATGTTCAAATGCCTTAATGTTTTACTAATCCACTGTTTTATTGTGCCGGAGAGCAACAGAACTACCTCATAAACATTTCATAATATTTTTATTCCAAGGATAATGAGGGTTAGGGGGATGTGCAATGTCATCTTTTATCAGCCTTTTTGTGTGTGTGTGTGTGTGTGTGTGTGTGTGTTTATGTCTACATATTTGTCTGTGTGTGTTTGAGTGTGCTTGTCTTTGTGTGTGTGTACGTGTGACAGGGGGGTCTGCGTAGCCCCACACTAAGCAGTCCCTGCTCTACACTGACCTTCAGAGAGCCTATTTCATTCAGATTTCTACGACACACAGACACCTCATCTCCTGGAGCTACAGTATTTGTCCGGTACTTCAGGCAGTGATGAGTTATTCAGCCATGATAGGTGTACTTTCCCAAGGCATCTGCTGCTTCACATCTCATATACACTGGGAGCAGAGGGCGCGCACACACACACACACACACACACACACACACACACACACACACACACACACACACACACACACACACACACACACACACACATACACACACATACACACACACATACACTAATAACACACACACCTTGACACTTCCCAGGCAATAGCAGCAGCATCTGCCTTTGATTCTCATTTCCTGGACATCTTGATTAAATCATCACCGCCTAGCTCTCTCTCCAGTTATTACTGGGCAGCATGTAGGACCAATCACAGAATACTGAGCCAAGCATATGTTTGCCAGTGTATTAGTCATTTGTAATAATTCTGTTCAGTACGATTCTAATCAAAGTATTTTGAGGCACACAAGTATATACTGTATAGTAGATTACACCGTTTTCAAATTAGGTAATACACTTACCTTACCCAACAACATTGACAGAAAATCTATCATTTCCATGATAACTATCCAATGTGTTGTCAAATGTGTGATCAATGAAGACATCCTCTACAATAATTTATGCAAAAAAAAACATAGGTGTACTGTCTGTAATCAAATGTATGAAATTAAATTAAACAAATAAAATGAATGAAAATAAAACATAACGTTTAGCACACATTAATTTGCATTAAGCCTGTCTTGAGCATTTGGCGATAACTTCTCATCCACATCACAGTGAATGTCCTCATTGTTCATGAACCGCGGGAAAACCCTTTTGGCATGGCGAATCCAAGCTTGACATTGGTCTGCATTGATGTCGTCGCATGCCTCATTCATGGCCAGAAGGAGGGTGGCACGCTCATGGGGATGGCGATCGTACACCTTCCACCTCCATGCTGAAAAAAAATCCTCAATAGGGTTAAGGAAAGGAGGGTATGGGTGCAGGTATAGGGTCACGAATTGGGGATGGGCTCGAAACCATGCCTGAAACACCTCTGCATGGTGGAACCTGACATAGTCCCACACAATGACATAGATGACCCCTTCACCTTGACAGGCCTGCTCAATAAAGAAGTGGTCAGATGACGCAGATGCTAAGCTACAGGACTGTTTTGCTAGCACAGACTGGAATATGTTCCGGGATTCTTCCGATGGCATTGAGGAGTACACCACATCAGTCACCGGCTTCATCAATAAGTGCATCGATGAGGTCATCCCTACAGTAACCGTACGTACATACCCCAACCACAAGCCATGGATTACAGGCAACATCCGCACTGAGCTAAAGGGTAGAGCTGCCGCTTTTAAGGAGCGGGACTCTAACCCGGACGCTTATAAGAAATCCCGCTATGCCCTCAGATGAACCATCAAACAGGCA